CTTGTTCAAGTAATATTTGGAATAATCATGTCTATATTAAGAAAGCTTTGTATAAAAGTTCTCTGGAATGATCCCTTCTATAACAAAATATTCTAAAGCTGCTAATTCAAGCGTTTTCCTCTTCATCTCTGGATTTTCTGGATTTTTTACATTAAAATGCTATTTTTGAAAACCTTTTTGTTCAAAAGCTGTCCTTTAAATCTCTGAGAATAATCATTTCCATATTTAAAAGTAAGCAATTAGTTTAAAGCTTACCGTTTCATGTCTGCTTACCTGTTCATTTCTGAAAATAGTCTTATATTTAAAACTGCCTTCTACATTAAGTGTGTTTTCCAAAAGCTGTTCCCTAGTTTTCTGGGATTGATCACTTCTATATTCAAGACTAATATCCAAGGGTGCATTTCCCCAGATCTTTGGGCATGATGAGTTGTTTAAAGATTATATATAGAAGCTGTGTATCTCACAAGAAAGGATCTCTGTGAATAAATATTTCTGTGGTTCAAAAACGTTCTATAAACATATATATAATAGAAGTGTTTTGCACAAACTTACCTCCAGATCTCTGGGATTGATCACTTCTATATTGAAAAGCTTTGCTTGAAAGCTTTCATTTTTATAGTGTTCCTCTGGACCTCTGGGAAAGTGGATTTTCTAGAGGTGTGTGTGTTCTTTATTTGTTTGCAATATAAATATATACATATATATTCTGTTGTTTATGTATGTATCTGCCACTTGAAAAATCAACCCTTTTATGGAACACATAAATACAAACCCCATGGGACAAAACCAAAAACACCCTGAGAAAACACAAAAATGTATATTTATATATGATAGTCTTGACTGAACCCTCCCACAGAGGACAAACTTAAGAAAACATGTTTTTGGTGTGTGTTAGCATGTTTGCTTCAAGAAGTGCTCACAAAGTGCAGAATCTTCTGCAGAGTGCACTCCTGGCAATGTAGTTTTCTTAACAAACGTTAACAGAGTGCCCTCCTCGCAGTGTAGTTGTCTTGACAAATCTTAACAGGGTGCCCTCCTGGCAGTGCAGTGTTCTTGACAAATGTTGACTCAAAAGAAGACACATTTGCAAGGAAATTTAACATGTGTCAAGAAAGCTGCACTACCAGGACAGCACTCTGTGGAAAATTTTGGACCCTGTGGACAAACACCAAAAAGAAAAAATATTCAGAGAGTCTTGGCTGGGACCCCCGCTTCCAGAGAGTCTGGGAATATTGTTGTTTTTTGTTTTTTGGGTTTCTTTGTTTTTTGTTTTTTGAAGGTTTTTGGCCTCCCTCGTTCCAAGAGTCTGCAAATATTGCCTTGTCTGCTACCAGGTTCAGGTGACCCAAATGATCATGCATATGGGAGTGCAGTTTATGTAGTACAATATAGGCCTATTGCTAATGAAAAGAACCTGAAAAACTGGACTCCCAGGAGCTGCCGTTCTGTTATTTTATCACATATAGACTCTAGACTGTAGCTGGAACAGTGGTTCCAACCGCAAAAGACAGCGTCGCAAATTTGTGCAAGGCACCGGCCAAACAGTCAGTAAGACGTGTGTGGTGATGGCGGCACACAAAATGCAATTAATTATATATATATAGCATACTTGGACCATGGAATGGCATGGAAATGCAAGTATCTCGGACAATATGCACTGCAACAAATTGCAAAAACAAAAAATGGGGTGTTGCTCTTTCGAACAGGGGGAGAAGGAAAAAGAAGTGGGCAAAATGAAGAAAGACTACGGCAAACTTTGCAAAAAGGCACATGAAGTTCGCTTTTGTTTCGACTTTTATGCTTTTATGGACGGGACGTGTAAAGAACAGTATACATTATTTGGTATTGTTTGTAGATACAGGATACAACCTTATTCAAAGCGACTTTCGAAAATGAGTGCTTCTGCAGTCACTGAAAACACAATTTATCTTGCCCAGTCTTATCAAACGTTATTGCAAACGCTGGCTGTGACCGTTTATTCTTACAGTTTTTTGTTCTAACATGTCCTAACAGGCATATGAGCCGCAGTGAGCGCTGCAAAGTCTTTTCCTGTCAGTTGTGTCTCTGCATTCCAGGAAGTTTTCTCGCTTGTGCTGTTCTCTCGTTGCTTGTTTTCTGTCCGTTTCTGTTTGTTGCCATTTCTCTATCCAAGTGCAAGACTGGACACAGATTGGGCGCTGCAGTCTTCAAATGCATGCACCTGTTTAGTCATCTTGGTTTCAACTGCTTTAAGTTTAAATCCTTCAAATTGGTTTTGGCGGTGCAATATCACCATGATTAAGCGTGTTTTTTGTTCCATCGCTCCGTCGCTCAACATCCCCGGACCAGCGACATCCGCGCCCCCGAGCACGTAGACCACGCCGTTGGTGGCACACGCCGAGCACCCGTGCCGCGCAGTCAAGGTATTCGGCAGCAGCTCCCACGAGTGCCGCGCCTGCGAAGTTGGCCCAAAAAAACACCCATGAAACAACACCCGCACCTGCAGAAACGAAACAGGATACCCAATCACTCTTGTTACCCAACAGGCAGCAACAAAGATCCAAATGGCCGCGGCGTCGCCCACACGTGGCTACGTATATAACTGAATGATGAAGTCTTCAGTCATACCAACAGGCAGCTCGCTGTCTGGATCAGCACCCTCTATCGGTACCCTGCGCAGCTGGACTTGGGAGCGAACCCGACGCGGACTTCAGCCAAAATCCTCGGTCTCTTGTATTGTCCTCTCCTCGTTGTTCACCAGTGTCCACCCATTCTCATCGTCTGTATGGTTCTTGTCCGATGGGACCTCCCGGTACCACGGACCATCCCGTCCGGTCCGCACCGCGTCGAAGCGCTGGAAGGCGTCCAACGTCTTCCCCGAGGCATGGCCGCCCACCACGTAGACCTCGGCGACGGTTCGGCGCCAACGAAGCGCGAAAGGAGGCCCAAGGAGGCCAAGCGCGAACTGGGCCCGCCCGGCGTTCCCGGATGTTTGGAGGCGGGAACCCCGTGAAGAATCAAAACATCTCATCATTCAGATCATCGGAACCAGAAAGCGGAGGACTTGGCTTCAACAGGCAGACCTTCCCTGGTCAAAATTCCAAATCCTCGTCTTCCAAACCATGGCTGGGAGGTTGTTGGTCATTCTACTCGGAACGGTCGGGCAGTTCACACCGCCCAGCGAAAACAGCGGCCAATACTTTAGCGGGCACAGTCGCAGAATGTCTGTTAATTGAGGGCAGGTGATCTGAATCAAAGGTCCACAACTCAAAGGTCCACAATGATCCACATGTCACCTCCATTCTGCACCATTCTCCCACAGGGCCCACCGCTTCCCCTGTCACTCCAGGCTACCGAGGGCCCACTAGGACCGCGCACCGCCACCCGCGCCTCCCGCGGCGCCGCCGTCCGCGGGGCGCGGAGACCGTGGGGCGGACTGCGGCTGTTCTGCCGCGCGGAGGACACGTGCCGAGCGCCGCCACCTTCCCCGGTGCCGGGGCGCGCCCGGAGCGGGGGCAGATGGGATTTGCGGGTTCAACGGGGGTGGCAAAAGAAAGACTTCAAGACACTAAGTCTGCAAGTCCAGTAAACACTGTGAAGGCTTCTTTGCAACATCATCGATCCGTCTGAAAGTGTGGAAGTCTTGCACTCACCGTACCATCTGTCCCCATCTGTCCCGCGTCAAACGCCCTTTGGGTCGGTCCTTTGGGCGACAGCTCATCCAAGCGCTTGCCATAGTCCTTGAAAGGGCCGCGAAGGACGTCGAACGAGGAAGGTCAGGGGATGCTGGTCAACCGCCAAGAACAGGGTTGTCAGCCTGTTGTCAGCTCTCTTCTCGTGTGCGGAATGGTTCTAAGGGCATCGAAGAATGAAACGATTGCTTTCTTCCACTTTTTGTGAGTTTGATTGTAAGTGTCACAGTATCGCAGCATCACAAAGGACGAGGTTTTTATCAAACGCAATGATCAAAGAGCAGTTTGTTTGGTTTCCAGCCCTGTTGCGTTGTCTTCGGGTCACCTCCAAAGCTGAAAACTACCTCATCTTGCCACCCTATCCAAGAGGTCTTCTCTATCAGGTTTCAGTATGCTTGATGGACAAAAGACCTGCACAATCTCACTCAGAGCCTTCACACTATGTCACTACAGCTTCCACCCATCTCAGGGTGTGTTTATAGCTGTGGTAGAGCCATCTCCATCTCTTCCCCCAGCCCACCCCAGCGGTGGTCGTCGTCGGCCACACTCCTCGACCACCTTCTCCAGCCGTTCCACCCGCCGCACGAGCTCGTCGGGCCCCATGCTCGGCGCCATCGCCAGCTCAGCGGCACAGCCAGCTCGGTGTCCCGTTGCGCAACGGATGTTCGTCCGGTTCCGGAGCGTCGCTAGCTGATGTTCGTGCCTCCGCCCCCTAGAGGTCTCGCACGTAGGAACCTGATGATGCCTGTGAAATTCGCGGCGTGCTTTGGGGTGATGGAATCTTAACTATGCCGACCTATGACCTATGTTTTCATACATGTTGATGGCATCAGATTGGAGCCAGGTTCGCCTTACATTTGGGTCAGCATCAAATCACGGCCAAGAAGAAACCAGCTCCAATTGTGAACCTGTCGAGACGACCCAACAACCCATGGCTGGCAGTAAGCTGCGGACTCCAAGGACTTGTGGACATGCATGGACTGTCGAATTAGGAGAAAAGGAAGGTAGCCATAGCCTAATAGCCTTGTTCGACCACAGGGCCCTTAGTGAGGCCCTTCTTTCTTTTCCTTGCTGTCTCTTGTCTCCATCCAATTCTGCATGCTGCCAAACACCCCCCGTTTCAGCGGGGAATCGGTCATCCAACGACCGTTTCACACCCCAAAAACCATCGTTGGGCCAAATGGCCCCGATTCTCCGATGATTCGGGTTCGCAAATATTAGAGTTGCTGGGAGGAGAGGAATGCTGTTTGTGGGTTGACGGTGTTGCCATGACCCGGGCGCCCCATCACCGCCCACATCACCTCCCCTCAGCCGCCCCGGGCGCCGGACCAGCGCGCCGTTCAGATCCTCCGCCGGACTCCCGCAGCCGGAAACGCCTCGGTGCCGGGAGGGGAGAGATGCAGCCGGAGCACAACTTCTCCTTACCAGCAAAAGCACAGCTTCTGCCTCACCCTTCCCACCCAAACAGGCATTGAAGGGCCTTATCCACCTTGGAGGGATGAGGATGGGAGGATGGGATGGGCGACACTCTTGGAGAAGAATCCCAAGATTGGGTCGTCGAACACCCTTCGTCGCCCTTCAAAAGGGTGGGGCAACACGGCTTGTGACAGGGTACACACTGGTTAGCTAACAAAGAAGCTGAAAAAGTTGCCCCTTGGAAGACTCCTTTCTTCTACAAGCAGGAGGGTTTCCACTTCCATTTTACATCTTACAAAAGTCGTCATCTCTACACTCTACACTATCATCGGCAAGCTGAAGGCTCGTCCAACAAGGCACAGGTCTTTGCAGTTCTTGCTTGTTCAAGCAATCCTTGTTGCGCGGAAACCTTTTTGGTCAGTGACCCAAAGAAACTGGAGACGAATTGGAAACCAATGAATCCCCCCCAAAAAGGAACCTCCTTTTTTTTGAAAAAAGAAAACGACCTGAAAACGTGAAAACGTCCACCACCTCCTTTCCGACCCAGGCACGGAGCTGCCCCGCCAAGGGCGGCGCGCCGGCATCGTCGAGGCCCAAGTTCCAGTTCGCCAGCGAGGCCTCCGCGCGACGACGTCCGGAGCGCCGGTGACGACGCAGCGATACACACCCCTTGAAATCGTCATGGAAGTGGAAAAACAGCATGGTCATTCTTTTGGGGCCATGTTCCAAATGCCATCCACAGAAAAGTAGATCCCCACTAAAAATGCATAGTAAACCGTGCCACTATCTATTTGGGGACCACTTCACTATACTATACACTCACCATCTATCGAAACGCGCCTCGAGGTCCCGTGGAGGCGACGTCCGCACGGACAAGACTTCGCACCTGTCGCGCGACCGCGCGTTGCAGCACGGCGCGTTGCTTTAAAGTGAAAGTTCAAAAAAACACGAAAGTTGGATCAAGGAATGTCAATCGGCTGCCGTAACTGGAATTTGGTCTGCACTATATTGTGATGTGCAAATCATCTTCTTGGAGGAACATGATGGGACAAGGAATGTCAATCATTCGACTGGCAAAAGAGGCCAAGCTCAGCCCAAAACCCAGTTGATCAGTGCATTGAATTCCCACAAAGTGGCACTTGTGTCAGCTGGATCCCAAACTGCCCTGCGAATCCGCAAAAGTTCAGGTCAATCAGTCAACCTCCAACCATCATTCTTGGCCTACATGTGACAGGACCTAGGCTTAGGCTCCGAGCACAGCCACAGGCACCAGTTGGGCGATCGCCAGAAGTCCTATGCAGGCTTCTTCCGCTCCCAAGAATCTAGGACACGGATTGAAAAGGGTATGGGCCTAGATGTGAAGCCTGCAGGGGTGCTTAACTTGGACACAGTATGCTATACATCACATGCCTATATATATATATATATGCCTATATTCTACTCCTGCTGCACTTCCATTGGCAAAAAGGGTAGAAGTTAATCAAGCCAATCCACTGACCTGATGTTGCACCACTCGCATCTGGTCCCTCCGCGTCCCTCCACGTCCATGCTGTCCTGCAACGCCACACGACCTCACACAGGAGAAGAGATGTCTCTGGTTGCAAGTACTCAAAGCCATTCTATATGAAAAGGATGAAAAGGGGATGACTCCAAATAGTTACAGTAAATCGTCAAGCAACAAATTTGACGAGGTGGACATGAATTCTGTTCAGGATTCACTGATTCTGCCAGTGTGCCAGTGTTTCATAGATTGACATCACAATGACCCAAGCTGCTGAGGGGTAACATCCCCCAACCATCGCCCACCTCGCCATCTGCTCCACGAGCTGTGCGAGCTGGTTGTCTGCAGCATGGCGCTTCCGGACAGCTGAGAAGTCCGGCGAGGATTGACGTGGAGCTGAGTGAGCTGAGTGGGCTGAGTGTTGGGTCCTCTTGGTTCTGACGTAGCAACTGCTGGCAGACGCTGCACATGGACCCAAAGGGTCCGATTTCAGTGTTCATGTTTGAGGGTTCACACAGCTTTCGGCCAAGTGATAAGCCTGGCAAGCCAGCTAAATTGCGAGACTTGCATTTGAGTAACCAGCAAACAAACATTGGAGGTATGAATGTTGGTCCTTGTTTCAATTAACTTTGCTCAGGCCACTTCATCTACTCATTCAAAGGGCGGCTTCTCAGTTGCCCGCTTCAGAAAGATTTGCATTGGTGCAGCGGTCCCACCAGTCGTTTAATGTTATTTCATGTTATATCAAGCCAACTCGCGGCTGCAGCACACCCCGACCAGTCATGAAGAACCTCCATTCGCTCCATTGCAGCGCTCATGCCACTGGGCCAGGCCCACAAAAGACTCCATCAAACTTAGCGACTGCATCGGCTTGGCGGTCTTTCCTCTGCTGATTCCAGCGAATCCAGGCTCACAATAGCCAGCGTCGCCCACGCGACATAAATGTTGCATTATTTTTTTCAGGCGTAGACGTACTTCTCTGCAATCTGGTAGATGATTTGCCAATCCTGAGCACGCAGAAAGTCACCATCTGGTCAACACAGAAATTCAGAAAGTCACCTCTCAGAACTCAGAGGCAGAAGGGCAGAAGGGCAGAAGTCTGGTCTCCGGAAGGCTTTGAATACGGTCTTTCTCAAAGGCCAAGCCGGCGATGATTCCCCAGATCCGGTCGTTCCATGCTTGTGATCGGTCTAAGAATTGGACTTGGACCTTTGGTTCACTGGAAGATCGACCAAAATCCAGAAGATTAGAAGAAGAAGAAGAGGTGCGAAGCAAAATCCTGTTGGTCCAAAATCCTCGATTCGTTGGCACCAAAAACCAGAACGACTAAGGGCAGCAGACACGTCAACGGCGTCACCGACAAGGGTTTCCCATCACGGGTGACCTTTGGGGGGGAGAAGCCCGAGTGCCGAGTGCCGAGGTGCATAGACCACTGGGATGATGCCCAGCATCCCCACGAAGAAGAACATGAGGCCTCTGTTCCCCTTGATGCGCCTCAGTGCGGTCTCTGCTGCTTTTAGTCGGTTTTCGTGCTGCGTTTAGACGTTCGCTCCCGCGTGGGCAGCGCGTCACAAGTGAAGAAACCTCCGCTGGATGAGAGCCGGTGTCCCTGGGAAGCTTGAGAACTGAAGATAGAAATAAGGTCGAGCGGCACCGTCAGTTTGGAGTTTGATTGACGCCGATCCTCCCTAGGTTTGGGGGGATTAATTAGGCCCTTCAGTTGGATGGCACGGCCAGCTTCCTCTAGACTCTAGACCACAAACTGGAAAGCCTCGTCACCAGAACCTCACTTACCCGAACTTGCCGAACCTGTCTGCTTGGCTTGTGCCCTTGGTCGTAGTCATGGGCCGGTCATAGTGATAGGTCAAGGTATCAAAACCATCGTTTCCCCATCGAAATGTCTACTGTAGAAAGCGTGGCAAGCGTAGAAAGCCAACATGACCTGGTTGAACTGGCTGGGTAAATGGACCTATCTTGCTCAAGTGATCAGCACAAACAACAGGTGCGGACTGCTGCCCAACGTGTCCCACCTGATTTGCAATGACCATCCCTTCCTTCCACCAGACTGGCTTCCCAATCAGGATAGGACGAAAGTAAGGTCCGTTACCCTATCTTGCATGAGGTGTCTCTTTTGGGAAGTACAGATGTCATCGATGTCCGCTCCCTCCGTCGCAGCCCCCGATGACGCGGAGCGGCGTGAAGAGGTTCATCGCAAAGGCGACCAAGAAGCTATGCCTCGATGCCGAGCTTCGCGGCTGGACCGTTGATGACCGGTTTTGGGGTGGCTGGATTCGCTCTTCGTTCCACACCAGGTCACCAAGGTGTATCTTACAAAAAGGAACTTTAACTTGAACTTCGCCTGGCTCCTGTGTTTTGGAACAGCAGGTGTTTTGGAAGAGCAGGAATGCTCCAGACTGGGTTGGTGAAAACGTCCTATGCAACCTGACCCAAGTTGACCGGTTCATGCTCCCAAAACAATTCACCGGCTTGTCAGTCTATACTACTTTCTTGCGCCATGAGAGCCCGAAGAGCAAGGATAAAACAACCCAAGAGCACAGGTTCTTTGTGCAAGGCCCATAAAAACAGGGTAAGCCCATTGGCTCTAGTTCCCACCGCTCGCGTTTGAGAAAAAGCACCTCACGCCCGCTCGCACGGTGTGGGCCACCCCCACATGGCAATAATCAAGCTCCAGAACGCCCGGAGCCGGAACCTGCACGATCGAAGGGAGGCTCCATCGAGTGGGATGGAGCCACGAGTCATTCGGAGGAAGCGATAGAGAGAGTCCCGGATCTGGAAGTGTCTGGAAGATTGAGTGGATCTGTGATCTATGTGTAAAATTAGGGAGATTGAAGGATCGTCAAAGCTGTTTGTTTCAGGCAGGGCTAAAAGTCTGTCTTCATTCTTCCTCCCGAGATCAGCTTAGATTCGATCTGTACTCTTGGGGGCAAAGCCAATGGGGAAGAAGAAACTTGAAGAAACTGGCAGAAATGGAAGAGACACAACTGAAGAGACACCCCACGGTTCGGTCTGGTTGGGAAACCACTCACCTCACCAAAACACTCAAAACACTCTCCTCTCAACACAAAGTCGTCAAAACTTATATCTTCTCAATCCCTCAATGTCATGTGATCTCACGTACTGCATTTGAGGACTCGGTGCTACAAAAGTAGAATCTTGGTAAGCCGTAGACTTTCGATCGCCTTCCAGCGGAAAACCCAACACCACAAACTCATTTGGAATCGAAAGCACAACCTCGCAAAGGTGCTCAGCCACACCTCAAAATGGTTGAACCAAGACCACTTCCCTTGCAGAGCCAGCAGGTGCTTACCTGTTTGCACCAAGAACCACGGCAAACCTGTCGAGATGAGGCCCAACCTTCCCGTGGCTGCTTGAAAGAGATCATAGGACACGTCCTGAGATGCACATTGGATGCAAACATTCGCACAATGGGACACGTTCAAAAGATTCCAGCAATGAAACGAGTCCCCCAGGTCTTCCCGATACTTGTCACAAAGAGCAAAGCCCATCCCGTCTCTTTTGGAAATCAAAGCACAGACTCATGACCAAGCTGCATGATTCGTTGCGTTCCAAAAAACAACAGTATTTGCGTGGAAAATGGACCCCTTCCCCCAGCTCACGCACCAAAAGGAATGATTCACATGATGTTCTGTGAAAATGCTCTAAATTATATGATCACTGCCTCCACCTTTAATCGTCTTAGTCTTATTCCATCCCAGCTTCTGAAACGCCTCAAGACAACCAAAGTTGTCAAGGCGGAAAAAGGGGAAAGCCTGTACAAAGCATCACCAAAGCTTGGTCTCACGCTATCTGCTTCACACAGCTGGTGTGCTTGTTCAAAGTTCAAACCAGAACATGCCAAGCAATTTGCAATGGCATTCAAAAAAGAACCCTTCGTATCTCTTCTTGATCACTGTTCTTATCACTTGAGCCTCTTCTTAATATCGTTTTTGTGAACGATCTTCTCGATCTGGAGCCCTGCATGGACCTGGAACCGGACTTTCAAGCCGATGAACTTGTTGGACCAGGGATCATGGAGCTCCTGTAGGACTTGGCCAGGCCGATAGCTCGTTCCTCCACCATAATGGCTGATGTATGTCACATACTCGCCTGCGTGGTACTTTTTTCCGCCACCCGGCATCGCTAGAGGCGCCAAATTTGCTGGATCCAAACTCTGGAACCACTTGTGCCGAAGGTCTGTGCCGCAAAGCCCAACATGCTCATGTGCTGGGATCACACTTCCATTGGGATGAAAATGTGATTCCCCAGAAGATGTTCAGGCTCTGAAATACCAAAGAAAACCGAGAAAAAGCAAAAAAACGAAGATGTAGAGCAGGAGCCCGTTGTGGCAAACCGGGTTGGGCTCGTCAAACCCATCTAAAAACATGGAGAACAAACATATCATACAGCTACAACCCATAAACATTTACAACCCTTAACTCCAGCAAAACTGAAACTACAAGCTATGAACCAGGAGCCCCACAGAAACAAAAACGACACAACAAAAGGAAAACAAGGCTAAATAAGACGGATGAACCAACAAGAAAGAGGAGCGAATGAAAAACAAACGACTCGAGCCTTGGAAAATCTTGGAAATATGTTTTTTGTGTGTTTACACTGCCAAACACCTGCATTGTTGTTCACCAGCTACCCTGCATCCATGCAGCCTTGTACAGGCCCAGCGCCATCACTGAGTAGATCTTGCACAACAGGAACATGACCTGCGAAATCCGCGGTCCACGAGATTCTTCATTTTCACGCGGACCACAAAAACTGTCGAGGCGCACGATGAATCTCCCTTCACGGACTTCAGTGGTGCTTGCTTTGTTCCGTTTCCTCTTAGAGCCAAGCCGAACGAACGACATGCTTTGCGTCCACGAACGTGTCACACACGGATCCGAGCCGCCACCCGGTCACCGGTCGTCCGGGTGGCTCTGGGCTGTCGGGCCATGGTGTAGGTGCTGCAGACCACAGAGATGGACGCAAAAATCATCTGCCCTTCATACATCAGCCTGGCACCAGGTATTTTGCAGTTGCGGAAGTGGGTTCCAGGAGAGGAGTAGCTTTGGCAAATGGAGTTGAATAATTTTCTTTGAATGATACTTCCATCAGAGGTGTCGTTACGAAGCATGTCAAAACCTCTAGGCCATGTCTCTGCCCTAACCCTTCCTTGCGCACGGATCTGTTTCCCCACTCTGGTTAGCCCTTCAAACAGTGGACATCCCTCGCTAGAGTTGGGAGTTGGCTGATCATGGATAGGACAGTCGGATATCGTCTGAAACACGCTCCATCCGGCGCTGCTCCATCCGACCCAAGCCAGCCTGTGCAAGTTCGGGTATTTCAAACCTCACAGTTTGCAAAATCGCACCTTTTTTGATATGGCTGTGGGTCAAAACCCAGCCCCCTGATCCCGAATGTTGAATGCTGATAATCCTTTGACAACTAACAGCAGGAGAAACATCTTGGCCAGCTAGAGGGGCCAGGAAGATGTTCCCGTTTGTCCCTGGAACTATCCACCTGACCTGGCCTGCATTGTGGCTTTTGTTCACTGATGTTGCGGCACACCCCAACGTGGCTTGTTCCATACGCTGCACCCTCAAACATCTCCAAGGATTTCCTCAGGGAGTTTGGAGTGTAAATCTGCGAACAAAGAAACCAAAAACAAGTCCATCTTGGCCATCTTCGCCATGTTCGCCCATAGGGCGCACTTCCAGAATTCCCACACCTTCCCCAAACACCCGACCGCCCAAGCCACGCTCGTCGGTCTCATCGGGCTCCTCCACCGAACTGTGGAACCTCACCCGAACCCACCGGGCAATTGGTACACCGTCGAGACAGCCCGGACGACCACGACCCGAGCGTTGAAAGCAAACACGTCGACGCCTAAAATCACGCCGCGCGCCAAGTCTTTCTCAACATGAACTCTCCATTACATCGACGTGAATGTGTTAGCCTTGAAATCTGATTCGGCCAACATCGTCAGATCCGCTTGCTTGGGGCCTGCAAAGGGGTGGATGGATATATACCCGAACTCGAAGTGACCACACAGCTTCTCTTTCCCACTCCCAGGACGCCATGCACTGGCCGCACCCTCGGGCCATGCAAAAAACCGGACGCCGAGTTCGCACCGTTTCAACCCGACCGAAAGCACCGACCGATGAACGAAGTGGGTCCATTCGAACGGATGTTCCCCCATCGCACCGTCCAACGCGGCGAGAAGGCCACCCTCTTCGCCCAGGCGCCCGGTGATCACCTGTAGCAGGACTGACGCCACGATGGCGTAGGTATCCATTCCGGTCACCTCAATTGGATGAGAACGGAAAAAAGTCCGAACCAATCACATGTGACAGGTGCAACAGGTGTGATAGAATCTGTGCCCAAGAAAAACACCTGTTGGGGTATCACGAACCACCTGTTGGAGAGTCCTCAGAAAGTCTCCTTTGGTGATGACCTTCCATTCACAACACGTCAAGCAATTCTTCTTCCTTCTCGGTCTGCACCAAATTCCTTAGCCCAGTGGCCCGGAGCCCAGCTCGGTCCAGGTTCTCGGGTCCTATCCAGTGCACCTCGCTCCGGCGGCGACGGTTCCGTGGAATCCCGTCCATCGGTGGGAGACCCTCCAACGATGCCCTTGCTACTAGTAGCGATGCCCTTCGTTACTTAGTAGCTTCTTGTTGCTAGCAATGCCAGGAGCTACCAGTAGCGTCCTTGAGACCCAGTTTGCTGCCTTTTTCCTTGAGACTCCACAGGGGGACTCACCTGGTTCTTTCTGTGACCAATCCCGATCGGGTGAGTCACAGGACTGGTGGGGTGTCCGCAACGCGCAGAGGTAAAGGGCAGTCGTTTCATCGCCGAGGGTGCCCCAAGGATAGCGAGAACAAAACCTTGTGGGTCAAAGCATTTCTAAGAGGGAGAAAGAAAGAGACAAATTGTTCTAAAAGGCAAGGATGCCGGACACATTTGCGTGCAATAGCAACCGTTTGAAACCCTTCCTGGCATATACATTCGATTGACCCAAATAAGCGAAACCCACCCCATGCGTCGGCAAACGGTCTTTGGCCTATCACACTTGGAAACTCAATCCGACCCAGTCCACCCAGCTTTCCTTCGAAGGAGATCAACCTGGCAAAGTCTGAGATCCCAACATCCGCCTCGGACCGCGACCCTGGAGACCTCCACTCTCAGGCCCCGGACCCTCCAGAGTTGCAGGTACCGATGCAAGTGCAGAAATTGCCGCACCGGCACCGCGTCATGCTGAGCGACGTGCACGGATGATCTAGTCGATGGGATTCCAGAGGTGAAAAATATCAGGTGCTCGTCCCAAGAGATCGGCAACTTCTTGCAGCAAAAATACATGTGCATCCATCCCGCGGATTGAAAAAGTGCGGATGATGAAGTGATAGAGGCTCTTTTTTTTAGGATGTCACACCATCTTCGTTCAGGTCTCTACACAAAATCGAAAGGATGACTGTTCCGAAATCATCTTTGACGACAAGGGGGGGGGCCCACTGGTCCTTTCTCCAGCGTTATTTGCATGGAACATCTGGAAATCTCCGTAGTGAAACACCCCGCAATCTTTTGAAAAACCATCAAGATTGTGGTCAACTTAGTATGTCAAGGACTCAAAAAGAATTGTACCATCACGCATACCCAAACCCAGAAGACTCTAGAGTGGTATTTTGCTGGAAAGCTTCCAATCTTCAGCCGTTTAACTACTGGGAATTAAAGGTCATCCAGGTCCATTCCGCACGATTACCCCTCTTAAAGGTTTTGTAAATCTCCATTCAGTCCTTGCAAAATGTGGTGCTGGCAAGCACTAAATTTCAATTCAAATGTTTCTACATTACACAGTACACCGACAACTTGGATTCACCCGGAATTCGATGGAAGTCCGCTACAACTCATCCAAGATCCTGTACCAACCATCACACCTCTACAATCCTCTACACCCACCTTCCCATCCAAATAAGTAGGTTGGAGGCCATCGCTACTAGGGTGAAGGAAGATCCCTGCCATCCATGGAGAGCCGAGGCACCGGCAACGCCCTGCGCCATGCCTTGGGCGACTTGGGGATCGCCACCTCCGCTGGCCGCCCTGGGCCCGCACGGAGCCGGTTACAGTCCGGGAGATCCAAATGGAGAGGATCTGCCAAGATCTGCCTCTGTTCTCAAGAAATTGGTTTTGATGACCCTGTGAATTGGAAAAAGGGAACATAAAGAAACTACAGGAGAATGCATGTGGTTTTCTCATGTTTTCTCTGTATGTGTCCTATTTAAAAAAAAAGAAACGTATATATATATATTATATATATATATGTATATATTCCTTTGTCATCCTGGATCCTAAAGGACCCTTGTCACATCGCCATCATCATCCCTTCGCCCGGCTCCAGGGTGCCCCCCTTTAGACATGCTCCCGAGACCGACGCCCCACCTGTGAGCTCTGTGGAACAGGTGGAAGGAGTACGGCAAGCGTGGAAGCACAAAAGCTTCGAGGAGGAGAACCTCGTGGTGCTACGTGCCGTGCTAAGGCGACCCGTTTTCAGAGGAAAAGTGGGGAGACCGATTCTGTCGCGGAAGAGGCGATTCGACCGGTGGTGCTATGAGTTCAGATCCAGGAACTCACATCCGGAACACAAGGATGGTTCCATGAATCTCGGAGTATAGTCCATGCATTTCAGGAACAAAATGTATATATATATATATACAATGGTCAAAGCTCAAAAAAGAAAACAGCCAGGCTCCATTCCCTCCATTCGCTTGGGGCAAACAGAAATTGAAGGGTTTGTCAGAAAATTCCTCACTGGGCCAATCATTCAAAAAAAAGATCCAAAATTGTCCAAAGAGCATTCTGGAAAAAAGCATCGACACTGCAGCTGCAGTACCCAACCCTGTTCCACCAAGCTGCGCCAATGCCAGGGATGCGACCACCAAGCGGGACAAAGGCCCTTTGCGTGCCATCGTCATGACGGCTAGTCTTTGGCGCGTCGAACGAAGGCCGCGATCGAATGAACGAAGGTCGAGACGGTCGAGACGGTCGAGACGGTCGAGACGGTCGCGGAACGTGGGCGACCGTTGTGGTCGAATGCTCGATCCTGGAGCCAACGGCAGTACCGGTCGCCACTGGTCTCTGTGGAGTGGAGTCGGCACGAGGCCGGCGAAGCTGAGCTGTTTAACTGAATGAGGCGGAGATGGTGGGAGTACTCCTTGGCTTATATACTCATGGAACTTCACCGCTTGATGAACTGAAAACACCGTGGGTGCACCTTTCCCCGCTGACCCATGCCCACCAAAGCTGCTCCGGTGGCACATCAGTTCCATCGCTTGACTCCGCCGTGACTCCGCTTGACTCGCAGCAGCCTCGCCCTTGACTCGCAGCAGCCACGAAAGGATCCACAAAGGGTCGTGTGCAGTTCCCCAACTTTGGAGGCCGACGCCTGCAACGGCCGTCGGAGTGAACTACTCATCGTCATCCTCATCCGAATCGACCGCGAAATCCTCCGCAGCCTCCTCGGAAAGCGTGGGATCCGCCTGAGGGGTCAGCCAAGTGGCCAAGCAGCGACTCACACATTCACAAACAACAAAGGACTGCAGTGACTACAGTCGGTGGTAGGGGGGGGAAATACTGCCCACTGACACAAAATCAAGCAAATGGCCATCAGATTCTCCTCCAGAAATGCTTCTGTCTGATGCAACGGCCTGCCTCGGCCAACTCCATGGGCTCCTCCTCTTCTTCAGTCTCGGCGGGGTCCTCTAGTAGGTCAGGCTGCTCCTGGCGAGGACTACCAGGCCCTCCAAGTACTTGAAGCCCCAAGTTCAGTCACGGTCCGATCTTTTTTCAACCAGGTTGTAAAAAACCATGAAAAAATACAAACTTGAAGGTGGGCTCAGAACCTCATTACAGTGCTGAACTTGGAAATTCCCAGGAACCTGCCATAGCTGGTCGTCTCCTTGCTCCCAAAAGAATCCGTTTCCCAAGCTAAGAAGTAATCCCCTCTCCAGAACGAAATATCCGGAGCCATCAGTGCCCCTGTGACGACTGAACCACCCCCCGCAGAAGAACGCTTTTTGGAAAGGCCTTCGACTTGTCCACACCGCACCAGTCAGAAATCGGTGAATCAGCAGCACACAAGGGGCATCGGGGGGGGGCACCAGGTCCATCCTACTTTGTAGGCAGGGTACAGTATCTCTTTTTCGGGATTGAACATCCGTCTTCTCCTCATCCTCCAAGTTCGGGTCTGCCCGCAGCGCTTCATCGACCTGCACACGTCTGGGAAAACGACTTCTTGCGGGTGTGCTTGGAGGCTTATTGATGTTGATACAAACCCAAGTGACCCTTAATAGGATTGATGATGTCCCTTGGTACCCCCCAGTCATCCCCAGTTGATGTCTGAAACAGATTGTCACCAGATCTTTCCCGGCTTCACCAAAAGCTTCACCTGAAAAAATAGAGAGTGGCAGGCTGTGGGAGTGCACCTTTTTAGAAGATTGAATGTGATTCCTTTTAAATGGAACAATTCCTTTCATTTTCCCTTTTAAATATGATTCATTCCTTCCATATGTCCTGTTCCCGTTTATGAATCTCTTTCCACCTGCAATTGGTATAATTTCATTCAATGTTCCTCTTAAATTTGATTAATTGGTGTCATGTTCCCTTTAAAATTGATTAATACATGTATGTTGATTATTTCCTGTTACTTTCCCTTTAAGAAGTTATCTATTCCTTTCATTCATCCTTTGCAAATGATTAATTCCATTTCATTTTCCCTTTTAAATTGAACAATTCCTTTCATGTTCACTTTAAAATTGATCATATCCGTTCATATTAAAAAGAAATTAATCATTGCTAAAGGGAAATGAAAGGAATTGATCGTTTTCAAAAGGTAAATGAAAACAAAAAAAAGAATAGTTTTAAAAAATATTAATAAATACTTGTTTAAATAGAAAACTAAAGGAATTCATCATTCTTAAAAGGAAATAGAAATCAAAAACATTAATCATGTCTAAAAGGAAATAAACACCGAAATAATCATTGTTAAAAGGACAATAAAAGGAAATAATCATGTTCAAAATAGAAATCAATTGTTCAAAAGGAACATAAAGTGAAATAATGTTTTTTAAAGGAAAATACCAGGAACCAATCATTCTGAAAAGGAAATTAAAGGAAATAACATGTTCAAAAAGGAAACAAATTGAATAGGTTTAACCTTTAAAGGAATCAATTACTGGTTAACATGAAAAATAGTATATAAATTCAAAAAAATACAAAAACCAATCATTTAAACGTTTAACATAAATGAAAAAAAAATACTTAATGGAAAATAATCATGTTTAGAAGAGCAATGCAAATAGATAGTAATTCTTCAAAGGAAATAAAAGGAAATACAAATTTTAAAAAGGAACTGCACACCCTATGTCTGAAGTCTTGGGATGGTTCATGGGGTCTGCAGCTTTTTTTTCCAGAACCTCGAGAAAACCAACAGAAACAAAAAAAGCCAAAGAACCAAAAAACAAAAAACAAAATTCCGAAAGTCTTGGCTGGGACCCCCCCCCTTCCAGAGAGTCTGGGAATATTGTTGTTGTTTGTTTTTTGGGTTTCTTTGTTTTTTTGTTTGTTCGATGTTTTTGGCCTCCCTCGTTCCAAGAGTCTGCAAATATTGCCTTGCCTGCTACCAGGTTCAGGTGACCCAAATGATCATGCATATGGGAGTGCAGTTTATGTAGTAAAATCTAGGCCTAGCCTATTGCTAATGATAATGAAAAGAACGTGAAAAACTGCACGCCCAGGAGCTGCCGTCCTTAAAAAATATGGGTGTGGGCGGTGTGGGTCAAAACCCCGTAACCATGGTTCACCATCGAAAAGGAAAAGAGCCATTGTGGTATGTCAACCTACCATGGTTTGCCGGGTACTGCTTTTGACCCATCACCAAATGAAAAAGTGACCACTTCCAGTAGGTGGATTGAGATCGAAAATGCTCAAAGGCGGGAGGGTCGATTAGTTGCTCACATTCACTCTCTGTAACTTCCAAAGCCATCTCAAAAAATCACCAACTTGTTTCTGACATGACATGCCCTTGAAGATTGACAGCGTGGATGAATCGTCTTCACTACACTTCAAGAACACCGAGAGACGCCAAACCTTGGGGGCTGTTTTCGCCCCCACCCATACAAACCCACATCCAGGACTAGCCAAAAAGCCCTTCTTCATCAACCTTTGAGTCATCCTCCAAGAACTCCTTGCCACAGGCGTTTTGGATGTGTCACCCACACTCTTATCATCTCTCACACCCACAGAACTCCCCACCCAGCGGTCCTCAAGCACCGGCTCCACATCCTCCACATCCTCGCTCTCACCGTGCGGAGACGTCTGCACTCTTTGCTTCTCCCTCTGGAAGAACTGAGCTGAGCTCGGTCGGACGTGTCCTGAGCTGATCGGAGAGATCGGCGGACTGGGGGCGCCGTGCGTATGCAACTTCCTCTGATAGCGTCCTTGCTCCTAGTAGTAAGGCCAGGAGCCCCTAGTAGCGTTCTTGTTCCTAGTAGCGATGCACCTGTTAGCATGGAACCCCAAACAGTTGGGGGAACCCCAAACGGTAAACTGCTTGGGGACAAAGAGCGCTGAACACACGGAGGCCACGACCGTGCCGGACGGCGAAAGCGGACGACCGTGCCGGTCCTGGGACCACGGTGCTGGCCTTGAGCCACTTCCGGATGGACTCGGGCGAGGGCTCCTGGGCGGCTAAACCTAATGAGAACCCAGCATAATGGCCTCTAATAGCGATGGGCTCCAACCGCCCCTAGCGGGCTAAATATAGAAACTGCATAGACTATATAAACAGTTGACTCAGTGGTCTCCTTTATGCCTTTATGCACATCGGTCATCCTCCTAAAGTTCTGTCGCTCAAAACAAATCTTCAAGATGTATCTACACCCATATCAGTCAACCCTGCCCATTTATCGCTCGTCATTTGAGTGGTGTTCCAAACCTCCTTATAGATTACAAGGAAATGTTTTTTCTATCTCTTGCACAAAAACCTTGAACGATGCTTAGGCGACCACAGTGTGAGCTTGCGCTGGACCTTACACAGTCCAATGCTGTGGGACAGTTGCTAGGGTCTTGAGCTGGTACCAGGAACGTGATCGCAAGTTGTACGTTCGATGGGCTTGCAGTCGAAGCTTTGGTGGAGTTCGCGACATTGCGGAGGGGAAGGAGTCAAAGTCAGATGCACTGTACATTTCCCAGCACTCATCAAAAGTGTTCCTCGTTGTTCCTCTTTCTGCGTGTCAGTGAATTGGAAATTATCTTCAACATTGCTTGCACGAGCCTGCGCTAAAACAGGTCTTGCTACTTCTCGTGCGTTTTTGCTTGTGCGGTGTATGCCTGAGCGAGCTGGGAACATGGAAGTTGCTTGCAGGGCGCCTTCAAATGAGACCTTTGTTTTGGACCTTCTGCGCAGAATGTGAAACTGCGAGGCACGTAGACGACCGAGCTCTGATAGGAGTTTAGATGGAAAATGCGTTAGTGCAAGTTGGGTGGGATTCGCTTCAAGTCCCCTTAACAATTGGATTTTGATGTTCTTGGTAGGGGGATGGGCGAGAGCACTTGTGGTACTTGCGGCGAGGGCGCTTGCCCGAAGCATGCGCACAAATTTATGCATGTCCACATCGAACTCTGAACCTAAATAGTATACCAACTGATCTCTTTTGCTCCGTACAAACCTGGTTGAGGGCCTGTGCCTGTGGTCCCCCAAGAGCTCACATGAAAAGGCTATAAGGGAATCCACAAGCCACCAGTTGGAACGAAAACAAAATTTGAGGTCCGGAACTTGTGACAACACTCTTCTTCAAGTTCACCTCAGTCTTTTGGACAATCAATCCCCCGCACGCAAGAAATATAAAGAAACTCATGAACGAACAGTTCATCTAATCTAAAGTGTGTCATACAAACAGTCAGTCATTCAAGCACTATAGTGAAGCTTACGCAGCAAACCAAAGGCGTTGCACGAACCTTGTGAAAAGCATGCACGCATATGGCAAGTTTTGAAATCATATAATTCCCCGAAAAGAACTCGAAGTTCCTTGCCACCGCTTTTGAACACGGCCTTTCTCCTCCTCCAATCCTCCTGTCCCGGCCCTCCTTCTTCAACTGCTCGACCTTCCGCTGCATCAGCGTCGACACCTCTTGTTCGACACACTCCGCAGACGACGCCGCGGCGACCATCAGCGCCAAGGCCTCGGCGGACGTCTTTCACGGTCGTTGCAGAGCCTCCAGAGCCGTGTTTGGTGTCATCCCGAAACCAGAAAAGAACTTGGTGACAATGCTGGTCCTCATCCAGTGGTTTATCCAGGGACCAGATTCGCTGGGTTCCTGATTCGTAGAGAAGAACAGTCTAAAGAGAAAGAGGGCAAAGCTGACTAGTGGACTATGCTGACTCAAATGTCGGAGTCACTAGAGAATTCCACAACAATATTGATGATATTGATGGTGAACGGATTGTAGGATGTATGAGACTCTTGTGCCCTGACATCTGTGTTGTGGAACATTGTGGAACTCTATGACGTTTTTTGAGTCGGTCAAAGGTCTGCTTCTCTAGGGTCGGTTTGGTGCCAGTCAGTTGGTGGTCAATCACTGCAGATTTGCCAAACCAACGAAATCAAGGACCACTACAGTGTATAGAACATTTTTTAAATCTGAACACCAAAAAGAAAATAATGGGAGTCACGCACAGCTCTGTGCCACCCAGCGGCTGCAAGGCCCATCATGGTGCTCAGCACGTCAACCGCACAGTCACGCAGCGGTTTGTTCAGTGGCGGGGCTTCACTTTGAAGCGAAGCTAACCGACAATGTGTAGGTTCGGCTGAGATAGCGTGGCTGCAGATCATGGTCGAAAAAGCGCTGGGGCATCTTTGAAGCCCCAGCTGTCTATCTTGGAAAAATCCTGGAAAAACCACTTGCCCACACCATCCGTCCTCCTGTGCTCCAATCCGACCCAAACTGGCCTATGCTCCAACCCCTTTCTATGCCAGCATCCTCCCGCACCAACCCCCACCCCTGCAGTGACGTCACTCCTTTTGGGTCGACCGTCGTGCACGGTGCATCTCACCGGCTCTCGGGCGTTCGGAGCTTACAGCGAATCTTGGTGCAGCCCGCGCCCACGACCTGAGGAACACGCGACGATCCTCGGCGTCGGAATCGGTGGAAGCGCAGCCGGAGGGCTGATGCTCTTGGAGGCAAGTCACAGCGAAGAGTATTCTAAACTTTGCTCCTTTCCTCACGAGAGGGTACCGAAGCCGGTCATACCATGTCATACCCCCAAAAACTGTTGCCTGCCCGTGCGTTCCACTCGCAAGGCACGACCCGCTCAGCCAATGCCCAGCCCATTCGCTGCCCCAGTGGCATCGCCGTCCATGATGGGATGCCAGCTGCTTTCCTGGCGTTCCCCGCTCAAACGCAGGCACGTGCCATTGCAGCTGCCCAAGTCCTCAAATGACGTGCGATCTCTGAGATGATGGAGATTTTTAAAAATGGGCAAGACGTGACTTGCCACGGTGTTCTGAAAATGAAGGACCCCCTAACAAGGTTTCCGTCCAAGAAGAATGGGGATTGTAGACTAAGAAACAAGAAATCTCCGATCGCTGTTTCAAACTTTACACATAGACTGATGTTTTGGGAAGCCCCAAAAGGCTGCTCTGAATCCTCTCTCTTCGGCCACCCTGGTCGCCGAAGTCCAGCGACTCTGGAAAACTGAGCATTCCTGGTCATCGATACTCTTTTGGGGCTCACAGGTTAACGCAAGTCAGTGACTGTGTGACCCCCAACTCCCCGTTTCTTTTAAAGAGGGGAAAAGAAAGGTGACACTGGTGACAGCCACTTCTCCAAAAAGTGATGTAAAGAGCCACTGGGACCCCCTTGCTGTGATGTAGAAGCTACCCTGCTCCAGGAAGATCATCGCATGGTGTGCGCTCACCGTGCCTGGGTTCGCGAGCGTGCGAACGATCGATGACCCGACCGAACGGTCTGTTCCAAAGAAGCAGCGGAAAATCCGAATCATGATAGGTAGGTATATGGTAGGTATATGATATATATGTAATTCTTGCTCTCAGTAGTCTGGTTGAAATTAATTTGGCCCCTCCCGCCACTTCCTCCTTCCAGTTGGCAAGGGAACTGAGCCTGGTCTGGAGTTTAGACCTGCTATTTACGCAAGAAACAAAGCTTTGTCTCCCAGAGCCTTTATTCCAATTTAGGAACAAAAAGTCCACATCCTCTTGTGCGAACGTCGGCTTAAGCCTAGGCGCCCGATGTGGTTCGCGCATCGATATGCGATATCATCTTCGTAGAAATGACCATAGACCGTACAACCTGACCGTACTACCAGCTTGCACCCACACATCCATCACATTCCATCACCCCATGGTTCATCCTCTTTGTGTAGCGCGTGCCACAACGACCGTGCACAACGACCGGGAGACCCGCCGGGCTTCATTGCCAAACGACTGTTTGTTAATCACGCTTTGTGCATCTCAGCATCCCGTCGGAGGGAACCAAAACAAGCGGAAACAAGTGGACACAAGTGGCACGCACGACCAACGAACAGCCATCATATGCATCTAAAGCCCCTTAGCCCACCTCAACCCTTAGGCTCAGGCACCCTACCCTCCTGTCCCACGAAACCGAAGACGCCCTTCCCGTCGTTCTCCCCTTTGCCGGGGAGCCGTCTTGTACCAGCACCAAGGAGTTGTCGGCCACCCGGCCAATGGTGATGCCGCCCGGCGGGATCGTCACCTCGCCCCGGAGCGGAGCGTTCTCCGGAGCGGTTCTCCGGAGCCGAAGAAAAAGGGTCCAATGCAAGTGATGGCGCCCCTTTTCCAAGACCTCAAAAGGGCTGCAAATGTACGTGTACAAAGTGTATGTAAATGCTTGCACCCCCCTCGAAACTTTACATGAGTGTAGGGTTTCGCAAGCTCAGGCTGGTCCCTCCATGGGACAGCTCTTACACAGTCTCAAGACTGAAAATTCCCTTGACCGCTGCGCCAGTCTTGCGCATGTGCAGTCAACATGGAACACGTCGCGGCCTTCCAACCAGAAGACCTTGCTCCACTTCTGTGCCATCCACTCGACTTGGGTGCTCGCATCCTTCGTCTCCGTCGTCTTCCCAAGTCGGATGCTCAAGCCCCCATTGATCTTGCCGAACAGCCAGAGGAATCCGGCCAGCATGCAGGCCTGGATCAGCAGGACCCAGCCGAAGGCAATGGCCAAATCCATGAAGATCCACTGGCTGAGGGTGCCATTCTCGGTATTGGGCTCTTCTGCTTCCCTCGCTCCATCGGCCTGCTGCAGCATCGTGATCAGCGCTGCAATCATCATCTTCTTGCTGAACTGGCCAGCGGCACTCACCACATTCACGTGGTTCTTCTCCTTCTCGTTGACCTCCTCATAGGTGCCAATCTTCAACATGGTCCTCAACTTGTGGAATCTCTCGATTGTCAGGGCTTTCGTGCCAAAGTCAGCTGTGTTGTCACTGCTCGGCACAGCATGCAGCGTAAACAGCTTTCGCTGCAAAGCTTCTTGAACCCATAGGCTCTTCACTTCCAAATGGCGGATGCGCCCCACACCTTGCCGTTGGAAGACTCCTCTTGCTGCGCTTGAGTCCAGGAAGACTTCCATCTTGATGGGATGTCCTGCAAACATGAAGATCTCCTTCAGGAACAATCCCTCGGCACATGCTGCCACTCCTCCATTGAACTCGGCTTCACCTGAGGACAGGCACAGCATCTGTAGGCTGCGGGCGTAGCTGTAGAGCAAGCAGCCACCAACACTGAACATGGCGCAGGCGCATGACTTTCTTGTCTTCTTGCAATTCGCCCAGTCCGTGTCCGAATGGACAACAAGGGTCTCGATGTCCCCCCTGCGCTCTAGCCAGATGCCATAGTCCTTCGTGCCCTGCAGGTATCTTGCCAGGCGATGCAGCTTTGCCATGCTTCCATCATTGGGGTCTTTCATGTCCTTCGTGAGCTCGCGGATGGCAAACTGGATGTCAGTCCGGTCGTAGCTCAAGTAGAGTGCAATGCCAACTCCAGCTCTGAACAGCTTCGTGCAGCTCTCGTTCAGTTTCTCACCCTCCTTCACCTCACCGTGAACATAGGGAGTCGGTGCTGGGTTGCAGTTCTCAAGCTTCAACATCTTCAGCAGGTCGGTGATGTACTTGGACCTTGGGCTGATGAAGATTCCATTGCTATGGATCTCCCTTGTGCGCTTCAGGTGCGTGAACTTCTCTCCCTCGATCAACGGGTGGATCTGGCTCTTCATGCGAATCCTCTTGTGGAGCTCTTTCTCCAGCTCTTCCAAGGATCTTTGCGGTCCGGTGGCAAAGAAGTCATCCATGTGAACTTCCATGAGGATGCCCTTGCTGGAATTATGGAACAGCCAGGGTGCAGCTGGGTTGCGGCTAAACCCCAAGTCCTTGAGGTGCCCTGCTGCCCATTCGACGAAACATTGTCCAGCAATCCTCCTCCCATACCATTCCTTCTTCAACTTCCAAACCACCTTCTCGGGCAGGGTCACACCGGCCTCGATCTGCTTCTCGATCCAGTCCTTCGGAGGGAGCATGTATGCATCTTCTTTGATGGGAACCTGCCAGAAAGCATTCTCGGCGTCCGCAGTCATGAAGGCGTAACCCATCTTGACGCCAATGACGTCCACCACTCTTGAAGTCGATGTACTGGAGGCTACAGCAAACACATCAGTCCTTGGATCACCTCGTTTGAACTCGCGGACACAGTATCGGCATCTCACTGCTCCGTCCGGCTTTCGCACCTCCACCCATGTGGCATCCAGCACCTTCATTCCAGGCTGGTAGGACACAGGCTCATAGGTGTCGTACTTGTCCATCTTCCCATACTCGACCTCTCGGCCTTGTGCTCGTTCCTCTGCCGTCAAAGGCTTGCTCTCCTCATCGTCGGAGTCCACTGCTGCCATTTCCACATCCTCCTCATAGACGATCACATCCTCGGTCGGCGAGTACAGTGCTCCAACATATACTCCGCCCACGCGTGCCCTCTTTTCTGGGTTTTCATCATCTCCACCAGGCCAGGCACGTCTTGCAGAAACCTTGATCTCCATGGGGGACTTGTCGATGACTTGTTCAGTCTCCATCGCCTCCTGAGAGGGCTCCACATTGGCAGGCTTTTCGCTGATGAGGATGGGTTCGTCATTCCGTCCACTGCCGGACGATGGCCCGCCTTGATTGAGTGTTGGCTCTGTCGGCTCTTCCTCAAAGGTCTTGATCTTGGCCTTCTTCTCATCAGTCTCAGCTTCCGTTGGAACTGCACTTGGGGTCATCGGCATGATTGCCTCGATCTTCCTCTTGGGACGTCCAATGGTGGTTCCTTGGTCCCAAGGTACCCCAATCATGGCCTCCAATAGGTCTCGGTCATGGGCCTTGGCGCTGTCGGCGAATCTCCTCACAGATCTTGCTGACACGGTGCGATCTGGCGTGTCAAGGAGGTACTCGTTGCTGGTCACACTCCTGCCGAGGTAGATTCCCTTTGCCCATGCCGTCTCACCTTTGGTGATCACATTTCTCCCATGCGCCCTTCTGGCCTTACTCATGGGGGTCTTGAAGAGGACTGTCTCCGCGAACGGGATGAGAGGTGACGTGTACTGGCAGTCAAATGCATCCTGGTATGCTGTGCGCTGGTTCGACTTGACTGCATAGCGGCATCTGATGAAAGAGCAGTAGCGCACCAACCAGGGCCATAGGTTGTGGGATGTATGCAATGTGATGCCATACTCCGCTTCGACTGCATACCTCAATGTCAGGACATCTCCACGAAGCAATTTCTGGAATGCCCACATCGTTCCAAGGCTCTGTGAGCTATACCTTGGAACCTCCTCGAAGATGATCTTCAATCCAGCAGCTCCGGGTGCTTCACCCTTCCTCAAGGCCTCAGCGATCTGCCCCTTCACTTTCTTGATCGCTGGTTCGTTGTCTGATCTCAGCTTCACTGTGTCATACCCCAGCTGGGCGATGAAGGATGTGATGACCTTCACCACGTAGGGGATGCCCAAGTTCTTGGCTGGGATGCTGAAGGCTAGTCCCATGCCTGTGCCAGTGTCAACCACTGACAGCACTGTGTCACTGCACTCCTCGAACTTGTCGGCCAGGCTGGTGTCAGTCTTCAAGAAGCTGTAGTCAAGCTCGAAGTGGTTGTCAGACAGCTTCTGCTCCAGGGTCCTCCGCTTGTGAGCAATCTCCACGCCGTGGCCTCGGGTGCAGAATTCACACCATGGTTGTGGTGGCAGATGTGTCAAAGCATGCTGCCTCATCTCCTCATCGCTGGGGATCACTGGCTTTGGAAGCTCTTGAACTTCAGCTCCACGCCCTTCTCGCAAGGCCTGCTGCCTCTCGCTATGCTTCTCCACATAGTCTCTTGCTGAGGCTCTTCGTGCATTCAACGCAGCTTCTGCTTTCTTCAGCCTTGTCCACAGGGTGTGCTTGTCGCCATAGATAGGCTCATCCAACTCTTTGAGTCGGGCTCGAAGGTCTGCCACCTTGCTCCACCCATGCAGCTTCTGTCGGTCTGCACGAGCATGGGCTTCATCACGAGCAAATTCCTCAGGCAGTGGGATCATCTCAATCCCTTCTTCATCTTCGTCCACACCGGCGAACTCCCAGTCATACTGGTCACCTTGACTCACCACCGGTGCCACAGTAGCATCAACCTTCATGTCATACGGCACGGCCTCATCATCCACAATCTTGATGTAGTAGGAGTTCCTGTGGATGTAGAGAGGAATCCTGAATGAGATGTCAGGATGGCTGAGGTATGGCTTGAACTTGTTCCTCATGTCAGCCACAAATCCATTCTTGCTCATCTTGCCAGCTGAGAGCACGTCCTTGCTGGCTTGCTGACTCACCTTGAACTCCGTGATGGCATTCAGGAAGTTGCCATTCTCGCCCACAATCTTGTAGCTCACTCGCTTCTTTCCGAGTTTTCCCAAGCTCTTCCCAGAAATCCCTAGCAGCTCAGCTCGGCACTCTTCGGTGTGCTGGTCGCCTCCGAACACAGGTTGGCAGAGGTGTTCATCACTGCCAGAGTCCCAAAGAAGGTACTTCACGGAGGTGCCGCTAGGCTGGGAGATGTTCATGTGGTGCCATTCACTCACCTGCTTGTTGGCCTTGTGGATCATCATCACCCACATCTCATCACTGTATTCATCCTCGATGTCATAGGTGTCGGCCCATGCCTTCCTCTCGTCATTGTCGGGGTCAATCCAGTAGTAGACAGCATTGGTGCTGCTGCCTGGAGCTCCCTGGGGTGACGGTGGTGCAGCTGAACCACTCGGTGCTGCCTGCACTGCATTCGTGCTGTTCTTGCCTTTGCCCTTGTCGCTGTCACGTCGGGCTCGATCTCGGACCAAAGTGCGACAGTCTGCCTTCTTGTGGCCCCACTTGCCACAGTAAGAGCACTCGCCGTTGAACTTCTTCGTGATGGGTGCTTTGCCTTTTCCCTGCTTGTCGTATTTTCCACCTTTATTGACTCCTTTGTCTCCTTTGCTTGACTTGCCCTTCTTGCCCTTCTCTGCATGCGACACTGCTCCCACATCCATAGGTACCACGCCACCATCGTCTTTGGCCAGCGCGCCACCAGACTTGTAGATGTTGCCGGTCTGCAAGTAGTCCCGGATGAATTTCTTTGCTCTCTCATAGTTTGTGCCAATCTGCGTTCCTGCAGCTCTCATGGCATCCTTCACCGGGCTTGGAACATGTTTCATCAACACGGCAACCCGCATGGACTCAGAGACCGTCTCTTTCGACTGCATCTCATAGCGCCTCACCAGCACTTCCCATGACTCAATCGTCTCAAGGATCTCGGACTCCTTGATGTTCTTCCAGTCAGGCGCAATGATGGCTGTGAGCATGGCCATGTGGCGTCCACCCACTGGTGGTTCATAGGCATCACACAATGCCTTCCATGCTTGGAATCCATTCTGGCCCTCCACGTTCATCAGGATCTGGAGAGCTCTGCCGTCGACGCTCTGGGTGAGCAGGTTGAAGAGCACAGTCGACAATTCCTGGGCTGTGTCACTCATGTCGATCATGGACAGCTCGTTCTGCGAGGCGGCATTCTCAGCAGCTTCCAGCATGCCTCGGTAAGCACGGTCGAGCAGGTGCACGTAGCCCCGTGCAACAAACACCCAAGCCGGCCAATCTTCATCCTTTCCACTGAATGCTCGAAGCCTCCCGATGGCTTTCGTGTCGATGAGCCGCGGACCAGGAACTGGCTGAGGTAGTAGCGGATGATGTTGGGATGTAGGCGACTCGAAGCCATCAGCCGCAGCAGCCGCCATGTCGAAGGCATGAGGCGGCGTCACAGGCGCTGCCATGTGCGCTGCTTGCCACCCGGCACAGGGATTTACGCCGTGCCCACACCACGAGATTTCACGTGGATTTACAGGGTGCCCGCCTCACCGCCGCCACGAGGGCCTTACGTCGGTTTTACAGGGGGTCAGGAGCGGGAGCCTTGGCACGGCTCCGCTACCATGCAAGTGATGGCGCCCCTTTTCCAAGACCTCAAAAGGGCTGCAAATGTACGTGTACAAAGTGTATGTAAATGCTTGCATCCAACCCGAGACTCTGAGAGACGGAACGAAGATGTCTTAAGCCTCAAGTCACTCTCTAATTGATGTCTCTGACAAACCTGGTCCCAGAAAGTCTCAGAAATCTGACTCACTGACTTACACCGTGGTCTTTGGGTCCAACAAAAATAGAAACTCTTTCGAGGGGTCTTCGAAAATGGTGAACTGTGTGTTCGCCAGCTGCTTCGACCCTTTGTTTCCCCTCTGGCCCAGCTCAACCCGCCTTGTGGCCGGCCAAGGGGCCTCGGCGTTTATAGCTGAGCATGGTGGTCACCTGACTTATGGACCTGGGGTTTGTAAGTGGTGGAAATTCCTGTTCTTCAGGTAGCTCGTTCCAGGTCAAAAGGGGTACCCCGTGTCTGAAGCAACGAAGGTCATCTTCGAGTCACCCCCAGAAACACGAGTGATGAAATCCGACCGTTCTTTTTTCTGCAACATCTGTACGATTGGGGAATTCGCTCAAAAATTGTGAGCCTGCGTGCAGTCAATGTCAAAAGGGCACCCTATGACACTTGTGGAAAAATGTTCGACCTTCGCACTGGATTTGATTCTTCATTTGAAACTCTGCTTCTTAGTAGATTCAGTAGATGAAGATGGTACAAACCCAGAACTGCCTGTACAGGCCGTCGTCCAAACAGTCAAACTAGAAGTTGTTCCATGAATCTATGTCGAACCTTTCCAACTTGACCCTCCTGCTCCGAGCCTGCTCCCCACCGCAGCGGACCCCCATTCGCCTTCCGTGAAGAGCACCGTGAGCGACGGCTCGGCGGAGCTTTGCGCCAGGACCTTGCGTCACGTTCTTCGGCTCAGCGCCCGTGCACATGCGGTGCCTGTGTGCCCGCCTGCATCTCGGTCTCCCCAAGCTTCACCATGAGACCGGGGAAGATCTGAAAGTGGCCTCAAAGATTCAACAAGCTCGGTCATGTCACCTCATGTCATGTCTCATTAGTTCAATCTCGGGCTCCCCACCATGGGGCCGCAAATAGAAGAAGGTCCCAGTGGTCGAGCCCAAGTCTTTCAGGTTGAACTCTCCGTCCATGAACCTTAGATCCGCACATTCCAGCAGAAATACATTATGATGTGATGTCATTCAAAACGACTCTTTTATAGTTGGTGAACACTCTTTTTGTAAATGTGCTATATCTGAGAGGGTGCAGGATTTCTTGCTCACCATCGCCGCGAACGCGGTGGTTAAAGTCTCGCAGCTGGACCCATTCTGGAGCCAGTGAAAAAGGTGCATAGTGTTTAGAGGCCAAATTAGCTAACCTCAAAGCAGTCAATAGCCTGTCACCGAAAGCTGGAAGTTTATGCTGTCTGCTGCCTTTCGACCTCCCCAAAGCTTTCTCTCTTCCGCTCCACGATATCTCCCGTCGTCATCTCAACAACCCTTTCCACGCGTGCGCTTAATCTGGAAGCCCACCTTTGACCTTCACCTGCAAGCACCTCATGAAAACAAGGCATCTGCCCCCCACTTCCACCACATTCGGAAATGCACGCATGGAACAAGAAGCCAAGGGCATCTGTGGCACCAAACCATAGAAACATTCAGGTTGCCGCTAACCTGAACTCCCCAACCAACGAGTGGTTTTCACTTCGTCCGGCCCCAGTGCCTGCAGTCCCTGTAGTCCCTGCAGTCCCTGCAGTCCCTGCAGTCCTCGTCCTTGAGACTCCAAAACCACCCGCTGCACCAAGCTGCGTGATCTCGCAGTGAAAGCGACTGATACCCGCCTCCGGGATCACCTTGTTCAATGACATGACTCGGAGATGGCGATGGCTCCAAAAATATTGAAAGTTCACATGCTCTGCAAAAAAATCAGTTTTAAAATGATAAAAATGTATGTCTCAACACAAGGCAAACAGAGCTGGCAATGGGCTGTGTGGCAAAGCATGACCCCATTTTACTGTTTCTTTCAGGCAGCACAGCGTACAGCAGGGTTTCTTTGGTCCTCAAACGTGGGGAAACTTACCCAAAATGCACCATGCACCAGTTCCAATCCGGGATCAGACTTGTACATGTCGTGGATCGGCTGTTTGAGACATTGGCATGAGTCAGGCAGGATCGTTGTATTCTAGTCACAAGCGTCATGGAAAAATCATGGTCTGCAAGTGGTACATCTGCAGCCGGTAGCCAAGCAAATGCCCTCCTCGAAGAATTTCCCACAATTGGGTCATGCTGAAAACGCCAAGAGACTAGTGTATTGGAGGTGTGCCGTCCAACCCGAGCGCCCTCCTGCCGGCCATCCCATGCAACTGCGCGAGAAAATCGGGTGTGTCCGTCCGGCTCACAAAGAACTCACAGGCTCAAGTGACATGCTGGCTTGAGTCGCTTCCAACCATCGATTCACCTGGCCCCGCTGGCTCCCTCCCTGGGTTTATGGTTTGTGTCCCGTCTCCTCGCCCACGGTGAGGAAGGTGCCCTCCAAGGGCCCGTCGGTGATCTGCAGCTCGAGTCGATGACCTCACACAGTGGCACACGGTCAGCGGTCGAACGGTTCTTCTGTTCGAAGGGGGAGAAGAAAAGAAGCATGGAAGAAACTGTGAAGAACGTCACAGATTTGGGGGGGAAAAGAACAGTTCCAAGAGGGCATGTTTCTCTCGTCTCATGCCACAAATGCAAAAAATAGAGTGGAAAACGGGCCGCCATCTGCGCCTGAATCAGCTTCCTCCACCCTGGCAGCCACGGCCAACAAAGGGAGACCCTAAAGCCTCCTGCGGTTGGTCCCTAACTGCTTCTTGAAAAATGTGTCGCATAGCCTGGCCATTTGTTGATTAAGACAAAATCCTCTTTGGAACTGGTGAACTGCACATCCCCCAAGAGTGTCCCCTTTTGGATTGATTTCCGACCAAAGAAAACTGAAGTGTGAGAGCAACATTGAGCAACTGGTCCGATTTCTTCATCGACAGGAAGTTCGATCGGTTTATCGAAGCTCGAAATTGGAAGGCCCTGGTTAAACACTTCCACCCGCCCACTGGTCCACTCACTTCAGGCACCTCGAACTCGTCTCAACCTGAAGCACTTCAGCCGAGAAGATGGTGGGGGAGGTGGGACAGGGCCCGACAGGGCCTCCCGGCAGGTTTAATCTCAACATTGAACAAAGTATCCCCTTTTTGCCAGAAAACGGTCCACTGGCGGATGTTGGGCAGTTTTGCTCTGACTCACCCATCCCAAGATGTGTTTTGGTGGACACTACTGAGCACACGTGGCAAGCATGCCCCTTGGCAAACAGCTAGGTTGAGCACAGAGCCCAAAAATAGTCTGTTTCGTTCAGAGAACCTCACCTGAGATCGTGTCCCAAACGCCCCGGGGACCTCCCAAAAGAGCCACCGTCCGGTGTTCTCCGAGTTCGGCACCTCCAATGGAGCACCCTGCAGGCTCGGCAGACTGGACAAAGAGCCTGGTCCCGAGGTCGAGGATTTACCCGCTTGAGACGCTTGAAGCCAGGCGAGCGCACAATCCTTCCAAGGAGATCCTGTCGGATGATAAGTCAATTATCGGTCCATCGGCATAGCGACACGAGCGACACGTGCTTGAAGCTTCTAGGGAATCAGTCGCCGAGACAATCGCCGCGAAAACCCGGGAATCGCCTGCAAGCGGCACAGGAGCATCCTGAAGGAGTCCAGCGGGAGTGTCTCCCAGTCCGCAAAAATCATGCCAGAGACCTTCCCCAGAACCCACTGCACTTCCGGGCCTTTGAAACGGCCCAGAAATGAATGGGCCCGTTCTTGCCCAACTCTTGCTCCATGGACCAATCATTGCGATTCCCCAACTTGAATCACCCCCAGCCCAGCCCCCCACCTTACCCAAAGTTTCTCACAAAACCTACCGCCAACCAGTCTAGTCTACGCCCACTCCCGCCCAATCCCACATTCCTACTATGCCCAGCATGCCCGACGCACCAAGCCTCTGGGATGAGGCTGAGGAATGGGAAGCACTCCACCGCCCGACGGCGGCTCTCTTGCCGCAGCGTCACCGGCGCACCACCGAAGAGGAAGGCGTAGCCTCGGGTTTTCAGCGGAATAGTTCCAATTCTGGTGAACCAACGAAGCCTCGAGGAACATCCACCAGGTCACAAGGTGAGACAACCCATCCATACCCATTCCAACCTCTACGCGGTTGGATGGGTTCTTTTGTCTTTAGTCTAGAACACGCCTGCCACTCAATCTCGCAAAGCTGTGCAGCTGCGGAAGCTCTTTGGGGCAAAGACTTGTACCATCCAACCGCCCCCAAACCGCCGCACGGATCGCCCGGGATTTGGCCCAGGCGCTGCTCGGAACCTCAGAGCCGTTCACCGACCGAATCACAAGTTAGAGAGATGGGACGGAGGGACGGGACCTCCCAAAAAAACTACAAGTTGAGCTTGCACAATCAACCTCCACCAGTTTGAATTTGAATCTTTTATCATCCTTTCCATTTTTCCCCCCAAATGGAGCACAAGACATGGGATCAATGGCAATTCAATCTGAGGGTCACGAAGAAAAAATCGTAGCGTCACCGGGCCGTCCAACACCGACCGCTGCTCCCGGGCGTGCTCTGACTCAGGTCGCTGCTCCGGGTATCTCCTCGGTTGCGCTCGGTGATTTGAGGTCACCTGGTTCACCTGGGTAACCGAGTGGGGAACTCCACAAAGCCCACAGAGCACCACCAAACACGTGAACCCTCTTAGAATCATCTGGTAGTTTCGAAGCAACGAAGCTCTATCCACCGTCCACCGAGGCATCCGGTGAAACAAGGAATCCACCCCACAGCCAAGAGAGAATCATGGTCCGATACCCATCGGACCATAAGAAGGACTTTGAATGAGGGCCCCACTTGAGTGCCCCCGCGAGCCATGCTTCTTGCTGACATGTTTCATCTTCCTGGATACTTTGTCGAACATCTGCCAGTGTGGAGGCTTCATTGACCTGTCTGAGCCAGGTCAAGCTGAAACACAATTTCTGCTGTATTAAAATAAAGTTTGGTTTTCATGTTTTGTATAGTTTATCCATGTCGCTTCAATTGCTCACTCTGGATGAGTGGACGTCAAATGGTGCCCCATGCCTTTTGGCAGATGTTTCAGTCAGATGAGGCCTGTGACACTTGCAAGAACAAACCCGTTCATGAAGCGACGCCCTTCAGACTCAGACCCTTGAGCACAAATGCTCAGAAGAGTTGCTGTAGCAGGACGACATACCAAAATGAATGCAAAAAAAACTCAAGGAACTATATAATGCATGTAACAATAGAGGTATCGTGTTTTTGGACGTCCTGTATCGTTTTCCAATGAAAAAAAGAAATCACACTCTTGGATGAAACTCCCTTGTAAAAGTAAATGACGATAATTTTGAGGCCCATTTACATGATGGGTCATTTGGGCCAGCTGCCGACCAGGTAAAATGTTCAGTCGGATGGTCGCCTCAACAACTGAAATCTACAACGCCGTTCCTTTGCCATCTGCCTTTCACATGGATGTAGAGCACGCATCACCTTCCACGCCCACCCCGCCTCCACCCCTCCAAGCACACGCTCATTCAAGCAAATTCCTTGGATGGCTGACACTCGCAAAACATTTCAACAAATTCCCGGTTTTACTCACGCTTGATTCATTTTCGACCTCTTTCATCCCCTTTTCACTTCAATAGCCCTCCCCAAGATTGAAATCCGTTCGTATCCTCTCAACTCTCGTCAGGCAGCGGAGAAGCCGTAGGGGCGGTCCAGCGCCGCCCCGCGGCGTCAGGCTCCGCCGGGCGCCGGGGCCCGGCGCCTCCGCGCGGTCGCCCGAGCCGCCTCGCCGGCCTGGCGCGGCTCCCCAACCGGTTTATGGGACCCTGGAATGGTCAACCGGGAGCCACGGATGCAACACTTCAAAGGGCCTGCGCCCGTCACCGTGTCCATATGCCCAACATGGCTTCGACATTGCAAACGAATACGAAGGATGTGTTGAATCAAAAGAGTTAATTGAAGGTTTATTAGTCGCATGACTCGAGCAAAAGTGAACTGCTCTGTTTCCCTGCGATATGTGTAACGTTGTTTGCATAACTGCCGTGTTGCCTGTGGGTGCGAATGCGCTTACAACCCGACAGATCACAACAAATGGTAAAATTGTGAGAAAAACAGTGTCCTTGAACTTGATGAGAACAAACAAACACACCGTAAGCACATGAGCCAAGAAGGCTGAAGGCAAATGTTGTTGCATGATTGCTAGGCCAGAGCTATCGAAACTAACATGTCGTGGGACGAGTATGGACCAGTTATCATTTGGGACCCAAGCCTCCACTTGCAAAATCAGTAGTAACAAGTGCCACGCTAGTAGTAACGGGTGCCTTACTAGTAGTAACAAGGTTCGCTAGTAGTAACAAGTGCCACGCTAGTAGTAACATATAAAACTTGGAAGTCCCAAGTCCGCGAACCAAAACACAAAGCATCATGCAAGTCAGACAACGAATGTCCTAGACAACACTCAGTTTGCAGTTTGCATTCCTGGCTGTGACATAAAGTCATTTACATTGCACCAATTAGACTGTTTCTAGGCTTTCCCACTTTACTCCACTGAAAACTCCAGTGTCATGTATTCGCATCATGTATCTACCAGTCATTTTCCGCCTCCGCTGATTGCCCCTTGGCTTTGTAGGTATCTTTCCACATCCTCCTTCGCTTTGGCACCACTTCATGGCATCCAAATTCACAACATACAAATCATGCATATTTGCATGTGCTTTTTGTATACACTATACATCTATACATGCAGGTACCTTCCCAACCATCATACAATACTTGTGTATTATAGGAACATGTAAAGCTTAATATTTATTAGTTACATAATATCATAATATGAATGACATGACATAAATGTCAAAACACGACATGTACCACATAAACTCCCAGGTGTGAAACTCCTTCCGGAAGTCCAGGGCAAGGTTCTTGATTACAAGAGTCGACACCTGCAAAGCGTCCGGCGTGCCCGCCGGAGATGTTGCGCAACAAACATTCATGAAGCGTCATGAATCTGAAACGGTGCAGCTGGACCAGCTCCTTGCCTCTTCACCACTTTCTCTACGACTGGGAACTGCTTTGCCTGACAGCATGTGCGTGCTTCCTTGAGAAAGTGAAAGCAGGTACCTTCTATATAATAGATCAGTGATTAGTGCTTTCGCTCTTGTAGCGCAACATCCAAGCCTTTCCCATCAGGATTTAGCAACGGTGAGGCGGCAGTCGCACAGCTCTTGAGATGCACGGAATGCAGCTAGCTAATGCAAACAGTTGACTCATCTATATATACACTAAACATGTTTGTGCGAAGTAAGCGCGGGATGCCCAGAACAACAAGAGCAATCCCAAGACAATATGCCCACTCTTCGTTGGCAGGAAAGTCCTCCGCCCAGGTTGCTTCCGGCGCTGTGCTTGGCCAACATTGGAAGGGCCTGACAAGTGAAGTGAGTGAGATCATGGCCAGCTTTTGGAACGTCGGTCGACATAGATCAGCCTAAGCCAGCCTGAGCCTCGCACAGGCCATCAGTTGGGGAGAGCGTATGTCACGTATTCGTAGCAGGTGACCCAACCGAAGCTTCACTCCAAGACGATGCGGTGCCTGAGGAAGAATACATTCTTGTTGCCAGTCAAGTCCAAGTTAGGCAAGGGCATTTTGTCGCCAAATCACGGTGTGCCACACCAGCACCTCCTCACCTCGAGCGAAGCTTCTTGGAACCCCACTGGCTACATGCAAAACTGTATAGCTAGGCTACAGCTTTGATATGCTTTCATAATTCATACTCTATTTTTGCAGGGCTGGTCTGCCACAACATCCTGGGGTGTGGAAGATGCAAAGTACATCAGGAGAGGCACAAATGAGAAAGATCACCAACCTCACCTCTTGGCAGTTCTCCCTGGGCTGAATTCGACCTAGCAAATTCGTGGGGACCCAAGAAAACTGTCGAGATGGAAGACCTCTCCTTTTGCTTCACCACCAAGGCTGACTTTTAAGACTAATCTGAAAGAAAATCAACATGCTCAAGCCATGCAGTTCACTCACATCTTGTACCCGGCCTCACATCTCTTCACATCAATTGCCTTAAGCTCCCGACCGGCCAAAAGGAGCAGTCCAAATCCACTCTGGTGAACATTGAGCAGTAGAATTGCAGCCTCCAGTGATGAATGGCGCAAGTAGATGGAGGATGTGGCAATATTTGCCGTGATTTGATCCTAAGGTAACCAACTGTGGCTTCAAACAAAAGTACAAAGAATGATCCTCACCTCGTCTTGAGCTCTGCATCCCATAAGCTGGGAACTGTCCGATCTGTCAGAGTTGGGCATCCCCGTTCATGTACTTTGAAAAACAGATCATCATCCGAAGATCTTCTTCCCATCAAGAAGGGCTTGTATTTTCGGAGAGAGATTGGTAATCCAACACTGCTGCTATCTGTTTTACGAGTCTTGCGGTGAGTTTGCAGTGGACCCATGAAGGCAAGTGCCATCTTTATCCACCCGTAATCAATTACGTGGGTCTCAACCTTCCAAACATCTCAAGGTACTTGTCCGTCCGCAGGGTGTTCACCCCAGTGTTTGGGGATTAGCGCCTCGGCTAGCTCCGGCAAACGGCAAGCAATCTGCCCAATGACCTCCGGCAGGCGCGAGAGTTATGGCCCAAAAATTGCCAATAACCTCGGGCAAACCACCAGGCGCTGTGCACTTGGGGCTTTGATGGGCTCTGGGATGCTTTGGACAACTTGGAAGACTTTCCATCATGTGCGCTGATCAGCATCTGCAACCCACATGGACCTTGGAAAAATAAATGCAAAGAATTTGTGGGCGTTTTTCCCTGCGCTACGTTAGAGCTGCAAAGAGGAAAATGACCTGACACCTTTCTTATGAAGGTGAAAAATCCAGGGCCCTTCCCACAAGAGTAGCTTCTTGCTCACCGACAGCTGCGCTTCACCTACATCCGTCTGCAGGCGCGACTCAGACGTCCATGGCATAAACGGCACCGGTTGCAGCGTCATGCACACTTTTGGTGCCATCATGCACCTTGTCGCATCCCCATTCTGCCAGGGTGGAACCGACTTTGTAGCCAGGTTTGTTCGCAAGGCCAAACTCATCCTGCCAGAAGGTGTGGCACCATTCGCGACCGCATTGCCAGCAAGTAGAGACATGGTGGAGCGTGTAGACGATTTTTGGGCCTCATCTCGCGACATCGGGACATGATCAAAACACGCTCCGTCAAACGCTCCGTTTGTTCCGCCCAGGCACCGGAGGTGACTGGAGCGCCAGTCTTCTTCGTGAAAGGGCAGGTGAGACACACGCTCACGGCCACACCACCGAGAATGGAAGCGTCTGGTAACGGAAGTGGGGGTGGGACGGCCACAATCTTCAGCAAAGTATAGCCGAAAAAGAATTTGAAGGCGGGCGTTCTCGAGAGCCCGAAGGCAAGTCCTTGGCAAGTTCTTGTGGGAATCTGTCCTTTTCAAGCACAAGTGCACATTACACACGAAGGCTAACAATTTGTTTACACTTTTTACAAAGTCTGGCTCTGCGTTTGCGCGTGGCTCTGCAAAGGTTTCAAAGTCGTGGCATGTCATGCCGAGGTGCCACCTCCACACTTATTCGGCAGGTTTAGGGGCGGGCAGGGAATTCCGCGGGCGGCAAGCTTCATGAGCGCGCCACCACTCACGGCACCCATCTTGACACTTGGCAAACCCAATGGGTTTGAGACAGGGGGGCTGTAACCGAAGGCAATCACAACCGACCCGGTTTTTTAATTGCGAGTGGTTTGCTCGTCAAGAGGTCAAAGTCGACCCCACCAAGGACAAGCAAGTCGGTTGTGAGCTTCCCTCCTTGGCATGTAAGGCGGCCTTGAATGGCAATGGCACCCTGTAAAGCAACTGCAGTGGCCTGCATCCTTGGAGAGAACCCAACTTCGACAGTAGCGGCACCAAAGTCACTGCATGTCTCCGACTCGCCCTCACCCTGCAGCAAGGCAAGTTTGGAAAGTCTCTGCCGCAGGAAGGCGGAGAAACTGCCGAAGATGGACTGCACATCACTCACAAGGCTGGCCAGCCCTGCGGCAGCTGCGTGGCGGTTCACAAAGGCGTACCGCAGGGCCGCCACTATGCCTCTGATCGGATCTCTCATTGCCTGAGGTACGCACTTGCTCGTTTTGCTGATATCCATAAAGGGAGTGGGCACTTTGGCTGAACCTACCTCGAACGTTTTCGTGACACAAGAACTGAGCTTGCTCCTAACTGAGTCGAACCTGCCCGTGATTTGGTAAACTTCATGGAGGTTTGCGAGCAATGTCTTAAGCTCTCCAAAAGCTCCGCAGTCCGAAATCTCGAAGCTCGGAAAATTGCTGGAGCAGAAGTCCTTGTCATCAATATCGCCATACTCCTCAAAAATGTTTCCCATGTGCTGCCGCGCATCTGAGAAGAAACCTCCGAGAGCATTTGCAGCCCCGCTGATTTTGCTGGCAATAGCCTCCATCTCATCCATTAGTTGCTGGGCGCCCGTCATCATGGCGTCCACATACTGCGTACCTTCTGCCGAGATTGTTTCCCTTTTGTCCTCCACCCACTCGGACATGGTATTGATGAGTTGCTCTCTGGCGGCCTTCAACTTGTTGAGGCAACTGTCGGCCGAATAGCAGCCTGTGAAGATGCTCTGCAGATTGTCGGGGATCATGCCCATGACCTCTTTCAGGCAGTCCGCACTTGTTGCCGCTACAGTCTGGGTTACGCCCGCCGAACACCGCACAACAGTCTCGATCAAGTTTGGAAGGCAAACCTGCCTCCCCCACACCTTCCAACAGCTTTTCCTCATTTCGGTGCACCACCTAGGTATCCAGGAGCTCAGGCATCCGTTCCGACTTGAACCCACCTGAGGGAGGCTGACCCCAGAGCTCTGTGGACGACTGTCCCCTGCATCTGGCAAAGCAACAAGCAGCTCTTCGTATGTAGGGGTCTGAGAATTGTCCTCGTCGCCACTCTGGATGATCGCCGCCACTTCTTGGTCTGAGAGCCGCAGCATGGAGACGCTCACATTGAGGTGACCTGCTTCAGCCGGTTCAGGTTTACTCAAAGTCTCTCAAGAACTGGGAACTCAACGTCGCATGTCACATGCATGACATATGACATATGACATACCTGAGAAGGGAGGGGACGAAAGCCAGCCATCGTAAAAGATATCAATATGGTTATGGGGGGTGAATGCGAGACCCTTGGTGCTCTTTTCCTATCACCTCCTCCCCACGCTATGCCCATTTTGTACATGAACTCCCATATGGGGCGCCCTTTTGCGCGTGGTCAACAGGCCTCTTCACCATAGAAAAGGGGCACCCCCAAGCAACTCATTCTGTTCCCTCCCTTTTCTCAATGATTGGGTCCATCGTTTCTTGCATTCTGTTCCCTCCCTGTTCTATCACGTCCTCCTCCGCTATGCCTCTCTCGTCCACATGAACTCCCACCCCATGTGGGGTGCCCTTTTGAGTCCGGCAACTAGGCCTCTTCACTGTTAAAAAAGGGCACCCCCAAGCAATTCAATTCTTGCCCGCTGCATTTTGTTTTCTTTCCTGCCCTCAACGGACCACAGCGTTACATGAACTCGCCCCCCAATATGGGGCGCCCTCTTGCGTATAGTTGGCCGGCGTCTTCACCATTAAAAAAAGGGCACCCCAAGAAACTCTAACATCTTGCAAACCCTCTTTTCCCACCACGTCCTCCTACGCCATGCCTGTTTTCCACCTTCCCCACAGCATTCTGGCCCCTCACAGATCACACAATATCTCAA